AAAAAAAGGCCTTGTATGAACAGTGACAAAAAAGGCTTATTGTTAAGAGGAACCGTGGTTATTGATTAAAAATTAATTTTTATTCTATAGACGACTGAAAATTAGTAAAGTATGCGTCATTTCTAGAAGCACTTGAAAAAGATACTTCAGCGCTTTCATCAAACCATCCCATAGGTCATCATAGTGTTTACGACGCCACATAAATTCAACAAGCACCCAAGGCATCATCTTCTTATTGCGCGGCCTTGTCATGCAGTTCACTTTGATCCCACTCCATATTCCTTTAATTACAGTTAATATTTTGCGACACTGACAATGTATTTTGTTTTACATTCAATAGTATTTGTATGTGCACCATCTTCGGCCACAAAATGAATCGAATGATTGACTGTTTGATGAATCAAAGGCCCACTATGTAGGGACGATACTCGACTGTAAGCCCGTCAGCTGTCCGTACGCACTATACTTCCAGGTAGGACAAAGCGCTCAATGATAGTATTGATAGTACACATATCACGGATTTCAACCACCATCAAGAAGAAGCATTTCGTTGGGGAGTCATTTTGACACCACCAATGACCTAAACGCCATCAGCGCGATGACCACGGCTACCCTTCCTCTTGCCGAATTTGGATTTGTCAATTTCCACGACAATTGGATTACCATCGGGATCAACGCCGCCTAATGAACAAAGCAGCCAGGGATAATAGTATCATCATACTCATACCAATTTGCACGTCATCTTCCTTAAGATCCTCTTGCAAAAGCTGGTACCGATCGTTTAAGACCAATGTAATAGCTTTTGGCGAGACACCCACAGTTTCTGCAATTTGCATTCTTCTTAAGCGACGCAATCAGTAAAAGAGAATCTCCAGAACAGTCGGAGGACTCAGATTGCGATAGGTGAAGAAACTGTTCAACCTAAGGCTTACAATAGTGCCTTGACAGCATCTAATACCAGCTTTGAGGCTCAGAATACCATCACAACGCCATGCCATACCATGTCGCCCTATAGGCTATAAGGCCACGAGAGAGCCGCCAGAGTAGGCGGCAAAGTCTTTTCTTGCAATTCTTCAGATTCCTTTAAGCTAACCCATGATAAATTGTCATGAGGAACATCTCGGCATTTTTTTGACGAGACAAAAGAATCAAGCTAGAATCATGTTCTGCTTCCAGCATTTTCTTCGATTTCAAAAGTGAATCTTTAAGATCGTTTGTATTAGAAATGTAGGAGAATTAAGAATCAGAGGTTTATTTCAGGGAGTGGGAAAAAAAAGTTGAACCCTACGCGCACGAGGAAATTCACGAGAAGGCTAATGTTACGGGTGCTACCTCGAAACGCTACCTATGCTGTTATCCAACGATATTTTCAAAGTGCGATGCCACTCTAAAACTAGCTCAGGCACAGAAACACTTTTCCATATTCTTTCGAATAAACTAAAATGAATATTCAATACACAATTGTTGTAGATGAAAACGCCAAACGCATTGCTGACATGGAAAATGAATTCAAAGATGTATTTTCTACCGGAAAAGTATTTGGTACTTTATTCGATGTCCGAGAGGCTGCTAAGACTTTTGGTGTAAAGCACAACTTTCCGTTTGTTGCTTACAAATCGAATCAAAAGCCCATTCACTTGATGTACAAGCATGGAAAAGAGTATGAAAACAATCACAAGCGTGTTTCTGGAGACGAAAGATCGTTGTTTGCCAAAAGGACACCCAGCGCATTGGCTGTCCTGCTACATTTACGCAAGCAAGAATAAATTCCAGTAATTCGAAATTTGCAGATCACACGCACTGCATCCTCACCAAATGGCTACGGATTGCCGAACGTACGCTGTTTTCCGTCATTTAGACGCAGTGAAGCCAACACTGTGCGCAATCTTTTTGAAAACACGAAGTGTAATGCGAGCTCTATTTTGGAGGTAAAGAGAAATAGTGAATGCCTTGAAAGCATCCACCACAAACCTTTTTTTCCCTCTCATTATTAGAATCTCAAGGCTCAAGGCATTAACAACTTAGTAACCAGAGACTTGCACAACATCAGGCAACAACATTTCAAACCAAAGAAATCCGAATCCAGTGAAGTTCTCAACTTTGTCAACAACTTGAAAATAAAGGATTATATTGTCAAGGTTAGAGCCAATTCCGACAATGCCGTTGACATGGTTTTTTTTTTTTTTGCAGAATCTGAGGCAATTGCGGAAGCTCGTCGTATGCCTGAGTGCATTGTAATTGATGCCATGTACAAGACCAACTCCCACGGGTTGATGTTGCTCAACACTGTTGGCACGAGTAACACTACAGGAGACGTAAGAGATACCTTAACAACGTATCATATTGCGGGAGTGTGGATAAAACATGAGAAAACCGAGAACTATTTGTGGGTTCTGCAAATGTTCAAGGATTCTGTGTTTCCTGACGCTCTGGTTGCAAATACCTCTTTGGAGCTTTCAAATGTGTTTGTGTTGCGGATACTTAAGGATTATAGCAATAAGTATAGAATAATTATAGTCATGTTAAGCATAACCTGAGATCCAATGTATTAATCCCAATTCAGGGCCGCTGTCGTGTTTACATAGATCACACTGTTATGTAATGGTTTAGGTGATACAAGACAAAGACAAAAGAAATCACTATGGGAAATTTTTCCCCGAAATATTAGATGTCCAGTAAATGCGCAGTGATTGTCCAGTAAAACCCTTAATTAAGTAATCTGTATTGATGGGCTTTAAATCTATTCTAGGAAGGATTAGCTATTTAAATTATCTGGCTAAGGAGAGTAGTCTGGTCACTTTTATCTCTAAAAGCTTAATCATGACTTATTTGAAAACATTTTTCTGCAGCAAATGCAAAAAGAAAATTAATGTCTTAATAAAAGAATTAGTAAGGCTAAACATGAAAGAATGTGTCTTGGCATTACTTGAGGAAGCAGAGTAGTTAGTACAGTGACTCAAAAAATTGTTCATTTTGAAGCCGTTTTTTGACTTCTCGGCTTGTAGTTCCTCTGGAAATGTCGCAAGCAAACTCAAACTATATCAAAAGATAGCCCTACTTCTTGGCTATCTTATGATATAAATGGAAGGTGTATTGTGTAACATAATCGCCGTAGAGCGCCGGTCAAAAATGAAGACCAAAATGAACAATTTTTTGAGTTTTTCTATTTTTCACATTTATTCATATTTAGTAATCAATTTGGCCACCATTGGTCTTAACAACCTTTCTTAATCTATCTGGCATGCTGCAGATAAGCTTGTCACATAATTCTGGTGTTACTTCTTTATACCAAATTTGTCTGACGCGTTCAAATAATTCATGCTGTTTTGCCAAGTA